ATTTTTGTATTCACGAATAACAGGAGAGGGGATAGAGAGGGAGTCCCGCCCAGCCGGGACCTCGCCATCCCTCGCGAGTCTCATATTGCCGTAGCAAACCTTCTCTTATAGAACTTCTGCTTCTCTCAATCGATATAAACATGGAGTTTGGTGTTGCCTGAATACACCGACAATTTGGTGTTATTTGGTGTTGGTAAAAGAGCAACTATTAGACGATACTACTTCCAATATCAATCAGTTTATTATTCAAATGATTACTCTCACTACAAAAAAACAATTCACGTTTAGTGATTAAATTATTGATTATTAAATCTTTATTTCTTATTACAAATTATTATTAGTGATAAAATTTAAATCGTTAGTAAAACCCTTATCACTACTGTTCTTAGTGACAAATTAAGTACCTATTATAGAAAATAACTTTATAGTGATAAAAAAATTGACATTATTAACAAGTTATTCATAACAATTTTATTCGTTACAAAAAAAATATTCATCACAAATGTAATTATGGTGTAAAATTTAATCATTAATTATTAAAATTGATATTAAATAAAAAAAATATTTATATAATTACAACACAAATATTTTAACAAAAATTTTATCACAAAAAAAATAATATATAAATTTATCACAAAAGTTTGATAAAAAATATTATTATTTCAATACTAATTAATTTTGATTAAAATTAATCGAACTCAATTAAAATTAATCAGATCCGATTAAAATTAATCAGGCCCAAACTAATCTCAAGTTTTATTGAGTTTCACATGTTTTATAGTGCAAAAATTTATTTTCTTAAATATTTCTTGTCGATGTGGGATATATTTATAATGTAAAACCTTATTCTCTTATGTGTTTTTTATCGATATGGGATGCATTGATTAGAGAAAATTGATAGTTTTTAATGACGAAATATATTTTTTAGTGATAAATTATTTGGTCGTCATTGAATGTGTAAGATATATGTGACCAATATTAAAATTTTGTCATAATTGTAATACATTATAGTGATGATTTTTATCGATAAAAACTTATTTTATCTCTATGAACATTTTTCGGTGATGAAATATATTTTTTATGATTAATTTTTTTGTTCATTATTAAATATGTATGCATCTGTGACTATTTTTTTAGATCTGTCACAATTATGATAAATTATAATGATGATTTCAAAATTTATCACAAATTTCTGTCACTAAAAATTATTTTTCTTGTAGTGTGTGTTCTCTCTTCTCCATGAATTTCTAAATAAAATAGTACACATCATTACTAGCTCCCAAAAAAATAAAATCTTACCCTTCTATTAGGTCATTTTATTTAAGTAATCACCTTTTTTCTTAGCAACAAGGTCACAAAATCATTCTATTTAGAAGAGAACCCAATTCTTACTTTCGTGTGCAGATTGTTTAATAACTTTGATTAACATTATGTAATGCCTTATTGTATTTTTTAAAAATAAAACGATTTAATTTAATGTTAAAGCTTTAATTTTTTTTGAGTGTCAATATTGATATTTGTTGTTCTTACTTCTCTATATATATGTGTAATTTTATATTTATATTTGTAATTTTATACTTATATGTAGGGTTGTTGAGAGGTTTGATGCTTGTGGGGGTTTATTTAAAGGGATGTAACATCAATTCAGAGAATGCAATTTGGTTACTTTCAGTATCTCCTCGTCACTTTTAAAATAGATTTTCTTTTTTTTTTGGTAAATCACTTGCAAGATAGTTGCAAAGAGTAAGACTTTAGAGAATGAAGGTGATAAAAATCGTGATGCAACAGAGACATATCCAAAATCTGCCACGGTTGAAAATATGGATCATGTGGTTAATTAGTCAACCCACGATGAAGTTGTTGCCACCCCTTCATCTACCTT